CTATTTAAAATAATTAAATAAAACAAATAAATATACCGTATACTTGTTTTTATTTTCCTCATTTAAATCCATCAAAAAAAATTTTACACTTTCGTTGTATATTTTTATAATATCCATCATATACGTATAATTAAAATTGGAAATCTCTAATTTTAATTTATTTTTTACGACACTTTTGTTACTTACCATTTATCAATTTTCATTATTCATTTCACGAGGGAATGAAATTTGAAAAATTTTCAACCTCAATTGTTTTTACTTTTTAGCAAATAAGCCTAGGATATATCATTATCAATTAAATGGCCAGAATAATTACTCATCTTTTTGTTTTAAACATAAGAAATAACTTCAGAATCAGAGGATTAAAAGAAATCAGGGAATTTTTCATTAATTTATTGCTTCGAAAATTTCAGTTATAAATATAATTTTATTTCTGATTTCTTCTTTTTTTTTTTAATTTATAAAAATATAATAATTTGATAAGCATAATTAATTAATTCCAATTATAGTTATAATTTTAAAAGTTGAAAAATTTTACAAATCATTTTTCAAAATTAAATCATTTAAAACAATTGAAAAAGAATAAATCGACAAAAGTATGACAAAATAAGAGCATGAGGGAGAATGATATTTACAGCTTACTTTTTTAACAAATATATAATTTTTGAAATTTGAAGTATTTAATCATATCTGTATAATTTATCCAATAATTAGATGTAATTATTTGCATTATAATATTACCTCTAATAGTTCTTGCATATTAATCTTTGCCCTTCGTATACGACCTTGCAAAAAATCTGAAAATTTATCACTATTTCAAGTATCGGTAATTAATTGATATTTTTGATAAGCTTTCTTTTATTGCTTACAATGTTAGCTAAATTAAATGGATAAGCTTAAAGATGAAAAGGTATGCGTTATACATTCGGATATGTAATAAATACCAAATGTTAGTTTAAGATTAATGCAACATTTACTAATGAACTCACTAATTCCAATTGTAGCATATTAAAATGTTTCAAATTTTACGTTGAATTAAAATTAGAAAAATTTGAATACAAAAAATTCATATCGTTAAACTTAGCGACAAGCTTTAGCAATTTAAGCTGCTTCATAAATTTTTGAATTTCCAATTTATATAAATGCCAAAACCTTGAAGTAATTCACGACAACATAAAGAATGAAGAACTAACCAATTAACAGAGGCATATCACTTAACTGTAAATTTGCCGTAACTATCATTGCCTATATTCAGTTGTGGTTCAAAATTATGGAATGGATTTTGGAATTGCTTTTTTGATGATTGTATCATTTTCAAATTATTTCACATATTCAAAAATTGAATTATTTAACTGCACATCTCAAAGAAGATACCTTACTTGCCATTAGAGGCTATGATATAATCCCAGAAAATTATGACAGTATAAGAAAGGTCCTTATCGAAAAATATGGAAATCACATACAGTTAAAAAATTACTCCATAACTAATTTTATTGAATTTTATTAAGATAAACTATCGAGAATGTAAATTAACAGTCATAGCTATTGAAAGGATATTTTGATAACTAGAAGCTATGGGCGAAAATCTAGAATAGTTCACCATCGAAATCATAATTGAAAATAAATTACCAGCCTAGATTCTAGATAAAATTAATCAACAAAAAGGAATAAGAATCATAGTCAGTCACTTAGCTCAGATAGTTCCTTGGGAAACTCGTTCTAAATGAAGAAGTAACTGGAAATCAAGCCTTTGGTAATAGGGAAATTGATTGAGAATGAACCGAAATCATATTCACGATATGCAACAGCAGAAACTTCGGTATTAGCTATCACTACACCATTAGCATACAATTTTAAAAAGAATACGAAATATGACAAGACCTTGCACAGCTCGCAATAACGATCACTGGGATAATGAATGTCATACTTGTCGTATTTTCGAGCAAAGAATGGATTGGCTGAAAGAAAATAATGCCTGTTTAAACTGTCTTCAACCATATGGCAACCAAATGCAATAAAAGGGAAAGTGTATGTTTCCATTGCGAAGATTCTCACAATACTACTCTATGCCACATTAAATACAACGATTGCGCAAAACCTATTAGACCAATTAAAGAGAAAAGAAATTCGCTAAAAGTAATCAATCCAGTAATAAATTAAAGCGATCGACAAGGTAAGGAAGTCTTACTCTCATTAAGTTGCAAATAGCAAATCAACTGAAATTAAAAATTAACTATGAAGAAATGAAAATTGCATTCAGTGATAGAAATTCAAGATCATCATCGCTTGTTGCCAAAGTATGAATTGAAATAAAAACTATGAAATCAGATATTATACACCATAGAAGCTACTATTGTCGATTATCTAATAACTCAAGCGCAAGTAATTACGATAAGCTATTATTTGAAATCAAATTATAATTTGTCATTTGTTTTAAGTCGAATTCTATTAAAAAGCAAAACAGTATCTTAGTATCAACTTAATTCATTTATTAGAGACGATTAACTCTTTAAATTAATTTCAATTAGACAAAGCTCAAACTATAGATTCAGAAATCTTTTTAATTAAGTTCAATGGGCGGTTTATATTGAAAATTTTTATGATTCTAACGAAATAATACTTCATGGTAAATATTGTATCATTCAGGATGAGGATAAATGCATAATTATGCCTATTAACAGAAATATTTCAGCCATAGATCGATTATGGAAATTAGAATTCATAGGGATGCAAGAAGAGCCTAATATTCATGATGATGAACAAGTCCTAAAAAGATCTTAAAAAAGTACTACTAAAATTGATGAAAGATATTATTCCTATTCAAGAATGCTGAAAATTCCGATTATAACTCTTGCAATTTTAATTCTTAAATGATAGAAGCGATCAGCGCCTCATTTATCACTTCATTTATTCACATTTGAAAGTTTGCATTCTCTTTAATCACCGTAAGTTTATTCAAAAGTTTACTTTGCAACAATTATCTATGCATTTAAGATCAAACTATCGTTTTGAAATTAATATATTGGATTTCGTTTTATACCTTCAAATTTGAAATATCCTTAGTTTTATGCGATGCATTTATTTAAATGATGTACATCTTCGTTAAAATTTTATCAGTTAAAACATCTTCGTCAAAATTTTATCAGCTGCTATTACCATAATAATGCATATCTGTGCTATTGATGAGATTTTTCTCGGATCAGTATTTGATTCAACGATGTTAGATACATTTCTTTAGCTTCAATGAAAAATTTTCCTATTTTTTCTTTTGCATGATTTTTTGAAGATCTTTTTTGGATATTATAGGACAATTATCAGAACTTATCAATAATAGAATCGATTACTTCATGGGTTTTTCTTTATCAGGAAAACATAGTTCGAAATTATTTGTTGTTAAAGTAGGAGTTTTGACATATGCGATTAATTGTTTCAAAATTTCAAGCTAAATTAAATAATAAAAGTGGTGTTGCGATAATCGAAATAATTTATAATAAATATGTTTAAATAATCAAAATAATCGTGTTGCTGGAATATTTCTCATTAAAGTGATTCATCGTATAAATTATAATTTAATGAATTAATATTCAATATCTAATGTAATGAATCATTTAGCTAATTCATATATTTTTTTTCTGTTTACTATGCTAATCTTTAATGATTAAATTATCGGAAAACCAATTTAAGTGCTAATATTACTGATCCTATATTCAATTATTAATATAAGTAATCTTATACTTTTTTATGTACACATAGCTATCCTTGTATCCAATAGGATCTTATCGGAATGTGATATCTATATAGATAGAAATTGGTTAGAATGAGGGTATCAATGCTTCGTTGATTTTAACCCTTACTTTTTGTTCTAACTACACTAATATCATCCAGATCCGAGCGAATTCCTTCTAGACTACTACATCCTGAGCTATATTCACAACAGCTGGTAATTAATTATATCAGTTATAATAATAGTTAAAGAAGCAAAATTTTTCATAAATCATGATCAATGAAAGATGATATCATATCAGAGTGATATGAAGAACGAGAAAGACGAGAATCTGAGGATATCAAACGAGAACTAAATCTAAATTTTGCTCCAACGAATCAATTATTTATAATGAAAATTAATTCAAACGAAACATCCGATCCAGAAAATGTGAAATTCCAAATTTAAGATATTAGCTAAGAAATAATATATTGACAAATATCTTGCCAACAAAAGACAGAACTTTTGTTGGCAGAAAATAAGCCAATAATGAAAAGAACTAGCAGAGCAATTGGAAAACGAATTTTGGTAAAGCTAATAAAGCTTTTGGTAAAACTACTAAATTGATACAAGAAGAGTGTTTAGGATTTATAAAGCATTGGAAGATGATCATCACTATTGCTATAAGCATTTTTGCAGAATATCAATTCTAGTGATTAGTGATTACTTATCAAAATGAAAATCGAAATAATCCGAACTATTTATTGCCCATCTTATATAAAACTTTTAAATCAAAGAGAAATTATTGCTATTCCCAAAAATTTATAGAAGTAGTATTTTTCGAGAATTAAAATAGTCCGATCACCACCTTTTCAACTATCTATTACTATTTTTATTCATTATTCAGAATCATCATAAAATGATATCTGAAAATGTTTTAATAATACTAATATCAATTTCTATTCGAAATCTATGTTAATTATTACCTCACCAAATAGTCTGATATTATTCCTCCTAATCAGAAATGAAATCGAAACTTAATGATCAACTCTAATATCGAAATTTTCGATAACTGCCTTATAACATTTCATACAAAACTCTCTAACGAATAATTAAATCTTCGTCACAAAAATAATTCGATTATGTCAAAACAAAACTCTTCCTCTGAAATAATCAAACGAAATAAGTAAGATGTTCACAACAATTGACAACCATAACAACTTTCGTGAAAAAATTTTTTATACGATATATGTATATTCCTACACTTTCATAAATTTATAATTTTCATATTATAATATTATTTTTGATCTGCCATTTCAGCTTCCAGTTGCTTAGATTTATCGATAGCGCTGTCAAGAAGTGCTCGGTGAAGCGCAAGTTGAGTACGTGTCTTCTCAAGCTCTCCTTGAAGATGCTCAATTTTAAGTTGGTTCGAACGGTAGACCTGTTCCGTTTTAATTATATTTTCATATACAGAGCGTAGAAGTTCATTCTTCTGTCGCTCGATATCCTTCATTTTTATGCGTATATCCTAAAGTGAATATTACAATACCTTCCAAGTAAGTTTTTACAACACAAAAAATATTTATGCAAAAATAAAATTAAAATTAAATAGAATGAAATTATAGGAGGAATAAAGGAATACGGTAGATTTATCTTTCGATCATTAGAAAATGTGAAGTTATTGCAATTTTGCGATAAAAATTTCTTAAAATTTCCAATTGTATTGGAAAAACAAAAGGAATACATTAAATAGGTGTAACATACCAGAAAATTCATAGAAAATGAAAGGAAAATTTTAGCCTAAAATTAGACGACAAGTTGCAAAAGTTTTCCAACATTCATTAAATTATGGTTTTAGATAGTTATGCTGCTGATCAACAGAACAATATACGCTTGGATATGAATTTGAAAGGATGAGTTGCAGAAAATTCGCAAATGATGAAATGGTCATTTGCTAATAATTACAAAATTATCATTAATCGATTAGTGATAAAGCGTACGCAAAGATTTGCTGTCAGTTCATCCATCGCTGCCGTTTAATTCGCTTAATTACGCTGAAAATTTATATCAACCTGAATGTATAATGTTTTGTACGTGTTTTGAGCAAAATTAGATTTTCCCGAAACCACCATATGAATTACGGAATTTTTGTTTCAAGGAATCCGTGATACTAGCTTTTTCTCATATCGAGTAAAATCCACCAAGTACCACCAAAACAACTCCTCTGGTCCAATTGATCTCTTCACCCGAGTACCACTAAAATGATCCCCTTTACATTATCTCCGAAAGAACCCGTCTTACATGATGATTTCGCCACAAGCCAACCAAGCGACCACTTACTAAGCGGCCACCAATGAATCAATGAGAAATGGAGTGAAATTGTAACTTAAATAACTCATTCCGGAGATACTGATTGGTTGTTGATATTACCTGTTAATATGAATATTTGCCGATTTTCCATATAAAAATCTGACTATGGGATTTCAAGTTATTTTCAAATTTACATCTTTATGGGATGATTTCATGCTGATAGATATTTCCAGTTGAGGAAATGCTCAAATCAAATATTCGAACCTTTTAAACAAATTGCTTGATATTGATTGAAAACAATGATGAACTGTCAGGATGTCCACCTGATATCTTCAATGGTGCAAAAATAATCTGCTAGGCTAGAAAACTAGACTGAGAAATAGATTTCGTCGATATCAAAAATAGTCCAGGAGATCAATACGATATGTTTAGGTTACACACAGCGGCAAAAGAAGTGATACGTTAGATATGCCAAACGATCCGAGAAACTAGCATGATTTCCGTTCTGTAGTGCAAAGTATTCGGAGTTTTTTTATTATGAGCAGTCTGAAGACAAATCCTAACAGTTAACGGTTAAAGATATCCAAAATGGCGACTGATAATAAACATCTAGCATTACTCCTAATGATAAGCATGTGGTCCATCTCTTTGTCATGAATAAACCTATGATTTAAAAATTTACGATTTTCATAGGAAGATATTTGTCCAATTATTATTAGCATTCTTTTGTGACTGGAAAAGTGAAATTACCTTGACACCATGAAACTTTGAAAAGCAGCAACTTTACTCCTCAAGTTGCATGCGGTTAAAGATCAAATCTCACCGGTCAAAACTTTGCAACCTATCGGAAGATCTTTCGCAATTATGCCCTCTTTATTATCCCGAATCAAATTAATAAAGAGAACTTCAAATATGAGGACAGGCAAAATAATGCACACTATTTCTGCAAACCTAGAAATCCCATTACTAACAATCCTCGATCATTTAATGCAACATAACTGATCTAAAACTTGACCGACCTTCCGATACCGAGATTAAACTACCGTGTAAGTACTAATGACCATTGAAACTCTTAATTCTTCAACATTTTATTTCATATAGGCAAAGAAACAAAGAAACCACGGAACAAAATTTCTATCTTGTATCTGAACAGAGTATGGCATAAAAACAACACAACACTGTAACTTGAAAGAATATAAAAAAGTATAAAAATGCTCCAAGCTCATTCGTAGAATTCCGACTTCAGTCGAAATTATAGACTTACTTTTTAAAAGTTAGTGAAATTATGAAAATCGTGAAAATATTACGCATATATATGCATACGAACCCACGAAAACAAGTGGTTAAATTTCAATTCTATTGCCTCCTCTAATAGCTGCTTCTTTCCCTTTTTCACCATTGAGAAAAATGATAATAGTGGCCATGAAACATTTATATTCTCTGCACCATTTCAGTGCTATGCATTTCTAGCTGAAAAAAGTATAAAGCCATTACTTCAAACGAGACCTAACCATATACTTTCAAACAAACAATATCAACCAACCTACACCATTTAGCCTATCTGTTTGTTACGCTGCGCCATTTGTTTTGTATAACTGATCCTAAAGCTTACTGTATCTCAGAAGTTGCTTTCAATAACACAATATTACAAACATGCATCAAACAAAAACGCTTCAAAAACAAAAACAACACCCAAACAATAACAAAAGGCCAATGTATTCTTTGATTTCAAGAAAGAAAAAAGGGTAGACCAACAAACCCGATGATCTATGTAATCGCCTCGCGATCATAACAGCATGTTCATCAAAACCCGCCTTTATCGAACATGCTTATTTTAATAATCATTTGTTTTTAATTTCCTTGTACGACTTTTACACCCTCCCTGTTACTAGATGACACAGACTTCTTATCCATATTCCGAATCTTCACATCCGCACTTTGGGTATCAATATGTTCCTTCTTAGCAATACCATCATTCTTCTGAGCACCATTGTCCTCATCCTTCTTATCGTTTTTCTGTTTCTTCTTTGCTTTTTTAGGCTTCAAGGAGGAGTTCAACAGAGATGTGATCTGAAAACGACTTCATGAAAATTTAACGTGAGTTTTAAAATAAAGGAAGCCAAACATTTCTCAAATAAAAAATTGCAATTCGTAAATACCCACCCAGACAAAAATTTCAGATCTCCTGAAAATTTATTTAAAACTCTAACTAAAAGTTAAACCGGAATATCTTTTATTGTCAAAAAAACCAACCAACTGATCCTCGATCTTTATATCGCTTACTAGCACATTCAGATCAATGGGAAATCCAGTAATCTTCAGTAATCCATTAGGCATGATTAGTACAGTGCACTTAAACTGCGCCACAAATTCACCCTCTCGTTCATATAGAACCTGAAGAGGAAATTGATCTCCGATTACCACACCAAATAAAAATAACAAATTTTGCTGCTTCTAAAAAATTGGATTAGTTCTCAGAACGACATCAACTTCAATAGAGCCGGAAAATTCTTTGTGATAATCTTCAAACTACGTTATCGTTTAGCCTGAATTGAGGCAGAAGGATGAAAATAGGATAAAAAGCAGTGAGAAAGTATATCAAAGTATGACCCAGTAAAATTTTCCCAGTACTTTTCACTAATACCTTTTACGATTACTTTGAAAAAGTATTGACATTATGAGGATAAGTTGGCAATGTTCTCTTTATAAATTTTTTACTTTGAAGGGAACTTTTGTTTCCCAGGGCCTTTAAACAGCATTTACATACTAGTTAATGTTTCAAAAAAATGAAAGTGGTGTTATAAGCAGTATCCATAGTTAAAAAACCTGATATGGCCGCATCAGGTTATGTCGTTCACATTCCACGACACCCATTTTCGCTAACTTCTCATCCTCGAATGACCGCAAAGTGAATGGCATTAGACCATATTTGTTCACTGCTGCCGACAAAAACATTCTGAAGCAAAACAAGCACTATGAAACTAATAGGAAAAACTAAACCATTTTCAGATTGCAAATTTTCCTTTAACAATCTTGCTTGAGAAACATTTGAGATATGAATCTTCATAACAAAAGTAGCTAATGACTGGTTTCGTAATCAACAATATTTCTACACAAATATGGAATCAGGAGCAATGTTAGTTTGAGCTTCGCATCTAAAGAAATTTTACCAAAGTTGAAATTAAAAAAAAAGTGAGTGAGACCGATAGTTCAGTGAACACTAAAATCAGAAGAAGAAGTATAAGAAATTTAAGATTCTTCATCAAACAAACAACCAGTAGCAATGAAACTAAGGATATCTTGACTTTTATGATTAAATAGAAAAGTGTCCGAGAAAATCACAGCACAAAAACATAGCTCTACGATGTGCAAAGGTGACCACTAACCTGACAGATTTATAATATGAATGGAAATGGAGCAAAAAGTAAAACTCTTAAACATACCTTGATGCTTTGACCTTGAGCGAGTAAACGAGATCATCCACTTTTTTATAAATTGTTGTTCTCGAATCAAGAATGCGAGTTTTGCCTTAAAATTCACCAATACTCATAATCCTAGAATGGCTAGAAAAAAACTTTCACTGCTTAACAGATACTTGCAAAAGTATAAAAAGAAAGATAGTGAAACGAATATTTTTATTGAACAAGATTGCTAAATGCATGTCCGTTAACATCATATTACAGAACAAGACGGAGCGCTGTTATCACAATCATGTGAGGGAAGGAAGGGACAATGGATGATTGTGAACATCACCACAAACAGAAGTCTTTAAGCATAGCGAACCGCAAAATTTCAGAATGTAAATATAAATTAAAAAAAAGAGAACGAAAACAACAAACCTTCACCAGTGCTCATCAGAATATCAATAGCATACACTTCAAATTTTTCAAAACTACATTTCGTCATTTCAGAACGTTGCTTTTCACCAGGATTTTGAATAATTTGCTTTTCTCCATCAATTTTATTTTTCCTTAATTCATGCGAAAGCATATTCTCAACTGGCTTTACCTACAAATAAGAAAAAGAGTCACTTTCATAAGAAAAACATACAATCTCTACAATCAGGCAGATGCATGATTTTTGAAAATGTCGCATTCTTGAAAAGTCATGGCAGTAAAGAAGAATGAAGTAGATTATAAAAGAGAAGCAATAAAGAAAGGAGGACTCTACAATCCATAAGACTGCACAGATCCCATTTTGACCATAACAAAAATTGAATCAAAAATATGGAAAACGACCTTCCTCTGTTTCGATCCTGTACAAAAACATTTGACGTTTTTAAAAAATAATGCATTTACTTTTACAAACCTGATATATATTTGCTATTTTATCGATCATGTCTGTAATTTCTACATTTTTATACAACCCTGGACGAAGCATGCGAACTGCTGCTTCCATAGCATTGTACGCAGCAAGCATCACGTTTGCCATCCTTCCTTTTATCTTATTTTCCTGAAATGAAATTCTGAATCAGATAACATTAAATCTATAGATGTTGTGCTAATGAAATTTTACTTGAGATAGGTTATTAGAACTCGAGATGGTCTAAGTCTACAAAATTTTCCTGAATAAAAAATGAAACAGTAAACACATTATTTATTTATCACGTGTTTATTTATCAGTTGAAACACCATGCCAAAAATTCAACCGTACTGGAGAAGCTCCAACAACGATGGTGTGAGCGGTAGTTGCAATGAAACCATCAATGTGAGCTCCGAGGTCAATTTTCACCATTTGTCCATTCTTGATAATAACTGGCGGGTCGCTTCGCAATGGAGAAAAATGACAAACACAATTGTTGATTGAAACACATGTTGGCATAGCGATACCTACAAGGAATTAAACCCATATAGTTCATCGAAAAGCTACAGTTAAATGCATACTGACTGTTGGATGGCTCAATTCCAATTAAAAAATTTTTTTAGTAAATCTAATCAAAGTAAATGATAAGTAGTTAGAGAACTATCAAATAAACTGGAAGTGAAAAACTTTACCAACTAACTAACAAACCTACTAAGAGAGAATTTATTTTTAATTTCAAAATGATTTCGTTTGTTGACGTGGGGACATAATATGGTAGTGAGGACGTCCAACGACGAATTCATGGATTAAAGCTAGTCAAGTAGCAAAAAATGAAACACAGATATAAATTATACCTTTCAAGGCATCTTTTTCTTTCTTGAAAACTTTTGCTATCCGCTCACTCATAAGCCTATCGCCGAGATCACAGATTTCGCCTACTTCGACACCATCTTTTATAGCCATTATTAATTCCTGCAATAAACATCTCTTCAAATTATATATCTTTTTAAAATATGTCTACTGTTCGGCAGGTCTTCCGCTATTCACCTTCAATTCCATTTGTTAAATAATTTGCTTTAATGTATTCGTACACGATAATATTCAAACCCATCAAATAACTTCTTGTGAACAGCTGAAACTCACTTTTATGACGGCATTAACGATATCCGCGGCCATCGCATATTTCGTCACGACCAGATCGCTTGCCGGTGTTTCCGTAACACTTTTCTCATCATCGCTACTTTCGCCACTTGGACTTACTGGTCTTCCCTTTTCAGCCATTTCTCCAAGCAACCTAAAAGCTTGGTCACAGTATGATTTCTTCAACGCATTATATAAGTCGTGATATTCCAAACTCGATTTCCAGGACAAAAGTACTCTTAATTGGCATTCTCGATCCATAACTACCTTTTTTTAGATATTAGTCTTCTATTAAGAAATGCAAGTATTCCAACAAAAAATTTGTTGACAGTATTACCACGATGTAATCCATTCCATTTCCATTATATGTTTGCTTGTTTTCACTCAAGTATAACTATAAAATGGCTAAACTTGAGGTGCAAACAAACAAACAAATCGTTCAAATTCTAACGAAATGAACAGGAATGAAGAATAGATGGCAATGAAAGATGAAAAACAAACAAAGGAAATGGATATAAAAAAAAAATCATGCGAAGGATTATACTTCATACATTTCATTACGTGGTGAAACCCCAAAGTAAACAGCATATGATACTGTATGTCATCAGTAAAAACTTTTGAATTAACATCGAAATATGAAGAAAATTTCCAATCACTCCAAAATGCTTCGACTAGATATACTCAAATCTCAGATCCAAATGCTTTAATCGGATATATTCAAATCTAGGTAACTTCCGGAAACCTCAAAATACTCATTTTTTTACATTAAAAGTTTAAATTTCAGCTCTCAACAATCCATAATTGCAATTTCCCCACATGAAAACAACACATAAGTACATTGATACGCCAAAATTATATCATTATGGTTGCCTACGAAAGAAGATATGAATCCATCCCCAATCTAAGAAATGACCCTCAGAAGAAAAATATCACAAACGTCCCTATCATAAAGAAATAGCCCTCCGAGAAAACAAACCAAAAATTTGGCAGCTTTCCAACTACAATACCATAAAAAGCGTTGTAGGATTAATTGTTCTACATTTGCGTATACTATTGTGATTGTGAGCTTGTTGATATTTGTGTTCCGTTCATTCCTGTCTGTTAACGTGAACATTTCCTATTCCTGCATTCTGACGTGGTGATAAGTGTATGCGTGTTTCATCCATTTTTGATGTCGCAAATTTAATATATGAATTTGTATATTGAATATTGAAAGAGTGAAATGAGAGATTAATGAATGGAATTGTTTTTATGATCCAAAATCAGAACTGAGGAAAAAATTCTCTAGAACTAATTCTGGAAATTTTAGGATATCCGGAAATAATTATGAATATGCAAGTTGAGACTCGTAGTTTTTTTTTCCACTTTACTAGAGTTACTTTTTACGCCTCTTTCTTCATTTTTTTTGTCAGCGCTTTTTCTCTTTCTTTGATATTATGCACTTTCAGATCAGTTGTACATTCGTTAATTGAGCGCATCCATGATTGAAATTGCCAAATTCTGGCGTGGGATGTTGAACTGAGCATGAGCTTTTGCGAAGTGCTACTCCATATTTTTACTGCAAAATATTTACAATATAGTTTAAGGTTAGTTGTTTCGTGATTGAATTTTATGCAAATTTGACTTTCTGAATTATTTTTTCATTTTTAAATTCAATTTAGACTTAATTATGCTAAAGGAGTCAGCAATTTAATGGACCATATTTTTCTTTTAGATTAGTCTACGAGTTTTCTGGTAAAGCATGGTGTGTTTCCTGGATTTCTTCTTGTTCTGGGCGTTAGTAGCGGTTACTGCGGGTATCTATCCGTTTGTCCGTGATAGCTACACTTCCAAATATGCATCTTTTACACCTGGGGAATTATTGGAAGCGAAAAAGGCAACGCGAGAGATGTTCAACTTTGCATATGAAAATTACATAAAGCATGCTTTTCCTATGGACGAATTGGATCCAATTAATTGTTCTGGTCGTGGTTATGATCATCTTCATCCGTACGTTTTTCTTCCTGTGTCATTCGTTTTCAATATTTTTTTGAATGAAAATAATGAAACAGTATAATCATTACGCTTCCGAATGAACTTTTTTTTTAATTGTGAAAAAAGAACTAGAGAAAAAGTAGAAATATTGTCTTTCTTTTTCTTCTCCATGAAAATTTCTAATTTTGATAATATTTATAACAATAGAATGACAATTTTACACATTTTACATCACAAAATATGCTCTTTTAAGATCAAATATCAACATTAACGATGTTCTTGGAGACTATTCACTTTCTTTGGTATGTTAACATTCTCTCGGTGGTATTGGTGTTAATGTTCTGAATAAGGGTGCGATAAAGTAGAAAACTATTTTTCACAAACATAAGAAAATTGTAATAATCCGTAATTCATTTTTAGATAGAATCGTTGGATACTCTAGTTGTTTTTGAGAACCGATCTGAATTCCATAATGCCATTCGAATGGTGATTGATAATGTTTCGTTTGAGAGAAACGTTACGGTACAAGTTTTTGAAGCAACGATAAGGTGATTGCAGCTTTGAAATATACGCAAGTTAAATTTTTTCTGCGACCGATTTTGCATATCACATCACTCTGTGAATGTGCTAGTATTTTATAACCCTGGCAAACATTAGACAAGCGGTAAAACCGTCTGTTCATTAAAACGGACTGGTTATTTTAGGAGTTGGCTCGCGGGCTTCTTTAAGAAAATATCGTCAGGTTTTCCGAGTGTAAAAACACTTCGGGTAGCACAGGATACTAGTAGTGGTTAAGGTAATAATACCTTATTCACAAATTCGTAAAATTTTCAATCACGTTGTTTTTCGGATCCAGTTGCTAATCTTTTAATCTTTTTTCAGGATAATCGGGTCTCTTTTATCAGCTCATTTGATCCTCACTGATGATTCCCACATGTTGGGTAATTATGCTCTAAATGATTACGACGGAGAATTGCTTACTATGGCACATGATTTGGCTATTCGCCTGTTACCAGCTTTTAATGGCACTAAAACAGGTAAATTTACGTCTTTTCATATTCGTTCCCTAGGCGTTTAATTTTTGCTAGAAATTCAAGTGAGTTATTTTAGTTTCTTATCTATAAGATGTACGAAACTTTATATTTGTTTCAGGAATACCATTTCCACGCGTGAATTTGCAAAGTGGGGTGAAGGAAGGAACAATTGACGAAAATTGTGTTGCTGGAGCCGGAAGTTTGTTATTGGAATTTACAGTTCTGTCACGCCTTTTGGGTGATGGTACATATGAACGTTTGGCACGCAAAACTAATCGGAAGTTGTGGTCTTTAAGGAATAAAGTAACTGGTTTGTTAGGTTGGTATTACTGCTTTTGGTTTTAGTAGCTATGATCTGATCAATTGAATCTATCCCCACCGACTAACTGACAACGCTATTTTTAGTCCCTCATGCATAAGTATACATTTGTAGATCTTACAATTCTAGCTGTAATTACTCTAAAATTTCCTTCCTTTTTTTGGAAGCATATAATCATTTCTTGAAACCTTCCAAAGAAAGCATTTTTTTTAGGTAGTGTAGTAAATATCCAAACAGGCGAGTGGAAAAGTGTGATTAGTGGACTTGGTGCAGGCCTTGATTCGTTTTATGAATATTTGCTCAAAGCTTTTGTCCTTTTCGGTGTTGAGACTGATTTGAAGATGTTTCAGGTTTCTGCATAATTTTATGAAATATATCAATATAACAGTTCTTATCCATAGCAAATTAAAGCGTTATTTCTTTTTTTCAAAGTTGAAAAATGAGAAATAATACATTTGTTGCAATGATAGCTTCCTTGCTGAGCACAGCTGAGTGCATTCTTTCTGAGTACTGAGTTTCTTGCTGGGTGAGTAGAAAAAAACTTTCAGTGATTGAGAAAGTAAATTGTAGTATATGGAAATGTGAAATAAGGCTTAGCAGTATAAAGCATGACATCTTCTGTTTAACGATAGTCAACTCTCCAATGAAATGAAGGAAGCAATGTATGAAGTTTGAGTTGATAAATTTTTTCTTTGAAGAAGGAAAAATAGTATTAAATTTATTCATGTTAAAATATACAGGAAGCGTATGCGCTTATAATAAGTCAGTTGCGTCGTGGACGTGATCGTTGCGTTTTAGGCGAGGGAGAAACGCCAATGTATGTAAATGTTGACATGCGAGATGGTTCGTTGCTAAATACCTGGATTGATGCTTTACAGGTGTGTTATCTGCCACTTTATCTGACCTTTATTTCATTTACTAGGCATTGTTATTTGTAATATGGATGGGTGAAAGCATATTTAACCTGGATTTTGAGTTTTTTTCCATATGTTATTCATTTATTTTAATGAGTTATTGTTCGCAGGCTAGTTTTGCGGCTGTCCAAGTACTAAATGGCGATATTGATGAAGCAGTTTGCATCCACGCCATATATTATTCACTGTGGAAGCGATATGATGCCATTCCTGAACGATATAACTGGCACCTAAAGTAAGTGGTCGTTACTTTCATGGTTTATCAGGGACTTCATGATATGTTCACACTCTCTTCTGTCCTTTCCTATACAATTACTGAGTTACTCTGAAAAACGGTTACCCTCAGAGTATTTGATATTTTCAGGACTCCCGACATATATTTTTATCCGCTAAGACCGGAACTGGCTGAGTCAACCTACATGTTGTATCGCGCTACACAAAATCCTTTTTATCTTCGTGTCGGTTTCGACATTCTTCAATCTCTTAATACGTTCACAAAGGTGAAGTGTGGCTATGCCACAATACACAACGTTGTCGATAAATCGCTAGAAGATCGAATGGAATCATTTTTCCTTTCTGAAACCGTGAAATATCTGTATCTCGTAAGTTTATTTTGTAACCTGGAGCCGTATTAAGGCTATATGGATTTTTCACATTTTTGTAATCGAGTTTTTTATTTCCTTATTTTGCCCAAAATTTGCTCTGTATTTCGAAAAAACAATAATTTTTATGATGAATTTGACATTTTTTAGCTGTTCGACGTAAATAACGCAGTGAATCGCAATGAAGAACGTATCATGTTTACAACCGAAGGTCATATAATACCCATCGATAAACGTATAAGAGATCCGGTTTATGATGCACCTCAGTATTTTTCTCACAATCATTCATGCGCTGCGTTTAAACTTGATCGATATCGACCACCGTTGGATCAGTCTCGTCTTGCTCAAATATTTCATTTAGCTGGCATTGGTTTAGGGTTTTCAGGGTGAAATTTTTAATTCTAGTCCATTTTGTCGTCCTAATTTCCGTCTTATTAATATCCAGGTTCAGGAGAGGCTTTGAGTGTTTTGTTTATCGTTAGACAGTTTTTCTTATTTTTCTTCTGTATTTCGTAGATTTTTCAACTGTTTTGCAACTTAGGAGTGATTCTGATTTTGCTCTTTGTTAGCTTAATATCCTAATTTTCCGTTACTTCTATGATTTCTAGAATTAGACCGTACCCAAAACAGTTATAAGTGATTTAAATGTATATCTTGCACTTCTTTCTCTGGTTCTATGTGTTTGTTAACTAACCTCATTTGGAAATGGTCTGTGATATTATCTGTCTTCTTTGGTGTCGTCTATCATTTTTTTTCTTAAATCAGGTCAAAATTTGCAAATTTTCTTTTTTTCTTATCAAATTTTTGATTTTACTTGGTGCCTTGCATGCATATTCACGGTGAAATTATTTCTCATTCCAATGTTAACGTTAGTCATTTCCTAGAAAGTAAGTAATTTCTGAATATTTGGTGGAGTACGTTCATTTCATGATTTAAATGGTTTTATCTAGTATTTATTGCATAGCTATATTATAAAAAGTTCAATGAATTTTCTGAAAATATTGATTTTGTGCATGTAATTTCGAGATGATTATGACACAGTTGAAATGACGATAGGAATGCTGACTGACTTTTATACTAGTAATATATCGGTTTCCAGAAAGCACATTACAAGTCATAACATTTTCACTAAAAAGAACAGTGACGATGGAGAAATTTCATCACATGCTTGTTTTTCCTTTTTTTTTGAAGTGTTGGTAAAACGAGGAAGGTAAAGGAATGAACATTGTTTTACTGTCATCAATGTGCGGAAACAATTGAAAAAAATTGGGCAAAATTTATAATGCATTGTTTTAGCTGCGAAAATTTGATTTCGATTGAGAAATTTTCCCTCATTAGCACATTTCTTGATATTGAAATGTTTATTGCAATTTTTTGAGAATAGCATTTTTTGATTGGACATATATATGATATGATCGCAATAATGATGACAAATAAAAAGTTAGAGTCGTCAAAATAATCTGAATAAATCATTAATTTCATTTGGTTTATTTGCCAGTAGCATTGTTAATGATATATGATCGATCAGATTGCCTAATCCTTAATAATGAATATTTTATTAATTTATGTTCTATAATACGAGCACTATGTTATTATCGTCGCTATTCAACTTGAATATTTTAAAGGGAAATTTTTTAAATTTAAAAGCAAAAAAGATATACGATATATTTAAGGCGAAAAAAAATTTTAAATTATTGACTAATTGCTAATACTTTTAAAATACAACGAAAAAGTGGAAGATCACAACATTAAATGAAAGATGGAAAATCTGGTTCAATAAAATTTACAACGAATTTTCGACTGAATGATGAAGAAATAGGGGGAGGAGAAGAAAACAGTTAAAAAATTAAAATGAATCAATTAAAGAAATATATGATGATCGATGGATGATGCATGAGAAGGAATGGTGGTAGCAAAAACAAAAACTTTTCATATCATACCTATAAAAATCTTTTTTTTCTTTTCTTTTAATTAATTACATGCTATATACGTCATCGTTTTCGTTTTATTTATTTGTTTTTTGCTTTTAAATACATTTATATTTTGTAAATAATGAAAGTTCAAAAAGTAAATAATGTTTATAGTAAACAAAAAACAAAAGATTTTTTTTTGGAAATTATTTTTTCTTTAATTTGTTAATTTTTTTTTTTTTTTTGTTACAGTAAAAATAATAAATATTTAGGAAATGAATAATATAATTATATAATTTCTGATTATTTTTAGATATTTTGTAAATATGAAATGGTCCATAATATTAATATTATTAACAATTAAAACAGGTATGTTTGGTCTTTGTTTTCTTTTCATTACTTTCATTTATTAATTATTCTCTAATAATGATGAATTGAAAGGTGGTTATAGGTTGGAGTGATAAACGATGGACAAATTTTGCTAATGATGTGAAAAAGTTTGATTTATTAGCATCGATTGATTCGAAAGAGATGATTATTAAAGAGAGCAATTATAAATCTAAAGGTTAAAAGTTATCAATACAGATTATGTTAACTTATATATGGGTTTTGGTTAGTTATATAGATTGGATCATTTATACAGATTCATAAAGGGTCAAAGGTAATTTATATAGGTCAAAAATCGTCTGCCTTTCAAAAAGAAAAGAAATGAAATTGAAATTGATTAAATATATTAAGTATAAGATTAAGTATATGATCGCTTTGTTTGTTTAATAATTAATAAGATTTTTTTTTTAATGTTAAGTATTCAAAAGTAATATATAGTAGAAAGAAGAAGCATGTAATCGATGTAAATGCACAAATAAAAATTTATAGAAAAAGTAAATCAAAGGTATTTACTAAATAATTAGTATTATATATTAATTAATTCTATTAAAACTTTCCTTTTTATTTAAATAATTTAATTTAGCCGGTAAATAATTTTTGAATTTATGATATCGATTAGTATATTTATTGAAATATAATGATAATATCATTTTAAGATGAAAGTAAGAAAGTTATTATCACTCATCCCGATATTATCCATTCCACTAATACATTGATTAATAAGCCGAATATTAATATAAGTGATGAAAAGAAATCAATCATTTTAAATTTGATGGCAAATTTAAGTAATTTGGATGATTGTACAGGAATTTGTGACAGGTAATTTAATTGAAATTCATTATTATCATGCTAAAATCATTTATGAAATGAGTATTTTTTAAACTTACGACAATCAATATCTTATTTAAATTATAGCTAAATTTTGTTTTGAATTTAGAAAGTAATATAAAACAAATTAATTAACATAAGGTGTAAATATTTCCTCAACCATAATTGTTTTCAACCATAATTGTAAATAAGATATTAATTATTGTAAATGTAATTTGTAATTTGAATGATTAAGGAAAATTTTGGTAGATGAAAATATTTAAGAGAAAGTTTGAAATTTAGATTGAAATAAAAAAGCTAAATCAGTGGAAGATTTATAAGAGCATTTTTTTAAGTTGACAATTATCGCTGCAATTAAGATGTTCTTTAATTAATTAAAACTAAAATACAATTTCGAAAATATTCGCAAATTTTGAATAATTTTTCGAATTAAAAAAAAAAGCTACTACACTTTCTCATACTTTCAAATTAAGTCATTACGGAAGTAGCTACATTTTTCCGGTTTTGCGTTCCGTAAACTACGACAACAACACTGTACCTACCGCATTTTCTGGTTAGTTCTTTTTCCTTTTTCGAATGAAAATTTCAAAGATATAAATTGCGAAACAAAACTACATTATTCATATTAAAGAAATGCTGAATTTCAGATTCACCGGTTGATGTCAGTTTTGCTCTGAAGATTATTCATTTAGGTAATTTCGATTCGAAAAATATGGACTATTCTATTGGTATGGAAATTTCATACACTTTGTTTTCCATATGCAAAAATTAAAATAAAACGTATTTCGAATTTTTCAATTTTTACTTTTTTAAGATTTCGAAATGCAAATGACTTGGGTTGATCCACGTTTAATGAATAATTATTCAAAATGGATACGAATTTGGGAGAAAAGAATTCTGGATCAAATATGGAAACCTGATCCGTATTTTGTTAATTCTAAACGTTCGCATTTCCATTATGTTTCATTTCCAAATTTTCGAATGTTAATAAGTCCAAATGGCTTAGTGGTTTATACGATGAGGTAATACAAAAATTATTTGTAAGATATCTAATAATGAAAATATTCGTTATCCAATCATTTTTGATATTCTAAATTTATTATAATATTTATGAATTATTTTTTTTTTTGTCCTATAATATTTACAATATGTTTTTGTTCTCTTAATTAATTAACTTTTATTTCATTTATTAACCTTATCCAACTTTTATTTTTCATCTAGAATAACACTACAACCATCTTGCTATATGGTTTTTTGCCGATTTCCACATGATGATCAACAATGTCAACTTATGATTAGTTCACGTTTGTTTCACTTTAATTGTTGCATACATAAAGAGAGAAAGATGAAAAGTATAGGTTAAACGAATAAATCTACCTGATCCGTATTTTGTGACAAATTCCACAATTTAATTTTAATATTTCTTTTTCCGGATTTATTTTTGTAAACAATTAAATTCATAGCAAAATTTTAATTTAAAAAAATTTCCAAAAATATCAATTTTTTTGTTTTTCTTTGTTTTGCTAAATTATCTTATATAATTCAAATTTCTGAAACTTTTTTCATCTTATTTTTTTGGATTTAAATTCTTATAGTTTAATTGTAAAATATTAATTTAAATTTTTGAATGATGAAGTAAAATGTACATATACTTTTAAGTTTCGCATATACCATCAAGTGTTCGATTTTCTTGGCTTTCAACAAATCCAATAAATTTCATGTCAACACATTCGTCACCTGATTTTCATCTTGTATCCGTACATACACATCAATGTATTGTAGATGGAAAATTATGTAAGGATTGAAATTTATTTCATTCAAATAAATTTACTCACACGATAACCATAAAACTAATGTTGTAAGCATATTAGAATATCATTATACTGTAATAAGATGTGTTTGTTGCATATGCAAGCTAATTTATGCGTGTTGCACGATAACATTCATAACATGCAATGTTGACAAATAAATTTATCAATTAATTTTTTTAAATTAAATTTACAGTTTCTTTCATTCATCAAATATTGCAATTTGTTGGAAAAATTTCATTATTTTCTTTTGCAATAAAAATTAATTATAATCACTAATATTTCATAAATTAAATTGCAATAAATTAATAAGAAAACAAAAAAGGAAATTTTTAAATTTCTATAAAATTAATTCTAATAAAAATAAATATGAAATTTTCAGTACCATCATCATGTCTTCGTGTTCTATTCAAATTAAAACGAAGTGCTGCACGACATATTATTGAAAAATATATTCCAAGTTCGTTGGCAGTATTCTTTGCTTGGATTGCACCATATGTACCGTATAATTATGAGGAAGTACGAATTATCACACCAATTTCTGTTAGTTATTCCACTTTTTTTCCTCTTCTCCTTTCTTTTTCCAATTTCAAATTTATCAAATAAAATTTAAAAAAGGAAAGAAATAATTAATTAAAATAATAAAAATTTTTTTAATGAAAAATAAAAGTTTTCCTTTTCGATTAGATAAATTAATAATTCGATTTTTTAATTTAATTAATTCGATTTTTAATTAATTAATTTGTGATTTAATTAAAGTTTTAATAAGTTTTTTTTTTTAAATTAAATATGTAAGCTTTCCCTTTCGATTAGATAAATTAACACAAATTAATTAATTAAAAATCAAATTAATTAAGTGAAAAAATCGAATTGTTAATTTTTCTAATCGAAAATGAAAACTTATATTTTTAATTAATTCGTTGTAAAATTTTTTTTTTAATTCAATTAATTCATTAAATTTATTAATTATTTAAATATATATATATGTATATTTTTAATGTATTATTAACATTGGTACAAATGGAAAGAGGTGAAGAACATATTCATATAAGTTATATAACACCATTGGATATTTGGTTTCGTGCAATGAAAGTATTCACAGTACTTTCATTATTTGAATCGGTTGTCGTATTAGCTCTTATAAGAGCTACCAGAGCTATCGTAAATTCTTTCTTTTTTTTCTTCTTAATTCTTTAATTATTAAACTTCATTGTTTTAAAAGAAAAAGAAACAATTTTGCATGAAGTTTTTCAGTAATTAATTAGGAAGAATAAATTAAGAAATGATTCGTTAATATATCATACAATTATCAGCAATTCTTTATCACCTTATAAAAAAATTATATTTAGGAAGATTATATATATTGATAATATAAATTATTATACTATATATATATATATATATATTAACTTATAGTAATAGTGATAACGATTAATTTATCAAAATTTCTAGAGTTTTAGGAAAAACGACGTTTGGAAGCTGTAAATGAATTTGAGCGTGAAAATTTTCATGATAAGAAACAACAAGTAATACGATTGCATCGACGTTTGGATTATTTGACACAAGTTTTTTCACCCTTACTATTTACAATATTTGTAATGTATTATATCATGACTGTTGTCTATGGTGAAGATAATGAATGTAATGCAAATGAAATTTATAATTCAAAAATTTAGAATGGATTCAAAAAAGAAATTGATAAATTGAAATGATAAGAAATAAAGATTTTATTAGATGCTATTTTAAATTTCATTTTAAAACAAAAAAATTGAATTAAGGTGTAAAAGAGGAAGAAAAAAGTCTTTCCTAAAATTCTATTTTGAAATTAATTTTTTAATTAATGAGTAAACATTTATTAATCCAATTTTTCGATTAAATAAATAAAAAAGTATACTGTGTTATTACATTTGAAATGAACAAAAAGGAAAAGACTACAAATTTAGAATAAATAAAATTATTTAGTATTTCTTTAATATTTATTATTGACAGCTATTAATTAAGCCAAAAAATGTGTGGAGAAAAAGAAATGAAAAAGAAACAATCAATATATCATCGTTTAAAATAATTCGTCTAATATCCTAAAAAAAAATTAAAGTGAAAAATTGCAATATCTAATTTATCAAAAATAATAACACACAGTACAGTCCATAAGGGAAAAGTAGAACGATTAATTTTATCAAGGATAGTTTTAAGAAAGAACTATAAATTTCAAAATGTTATTTTCTATACTTCGTGAGAAAGTTATTTTTCTTCTTAAATTGTTTCCTTTAAAATTTCTTCAATTTTAAACATTTTGTCTAATTGTTATTCAACAAAAAAAAAAAATATCAATTTCAGATAATGTCAAAAAATTCGATCCGATCCGTGGAAAGAAAGCATTTAAATCGTTACCGATTTCATGCCTTCTTTAAAATTGCGACGTCAGCAGGTACACATCAACAAATTACGACGACATCACCATATACACGTCAACAAATTGCGACGACATCACCATATACACGTCAACAAATTTGCGACGACATCACCATATACATGTCAACAAATTTGCGACGACATCACCATATACACGTCGACAAGTTACGATGTCAACAATTTACGACGTCATATTTACGACTATTGAAAAGGCTAGAATTTGCTCTTTTTTTTTGAATTTATTCAGGTCAAATGACAACAAACGAAATCTTAGAAGCTTGAAAAACTTTTCAAAAATTTGAGCGTATTTTACGCATTAAACTCTAGCATTTTTCAATAATCGTAAATGTGATGTCGTAATTTGTAAAATGTTAACGTCGTAATTTCATCCTATTCCTACAAATTTCCACAATACTTCATCATTCTCATTTACCATAAAATTCCTGAAGATTCTTCCTGTTGATTCTTCTTACTGCTACATCAATAAATGAATTCTTACTTGAAATTCATGCAATTCGTACATCACTTTTTTTCTGCAAAATTTTGACTACAAAATACTTCAAAAAATTTTCTTATGTTTCGTTTAAGTAAATTAAAATGATTTTTTGAAATAATTCCAAATATGTATTTTTATGATAATCTTTTTTCTCTCTTCTTCTTTATCTTACTTTATTATCAATTATCATAGCAACTAATTGATACATTTAATTTAATTTTATTTCAATATAAAATTCACATCCATTCAATTCAATCTTATCTATTTCAATTATATTTTATTCATTTTCTCTTCTTTCTTCAATCATATATGATTTAATTACATATTCTAATTTAATTTTCTTTTGTTTTTTTATTAAGGATTAATTTAAAAAAAAAAAAGAAATCACAAATGCTATTTTAAAACATCAAATAAATAATCAACAAATTTGAACAATAAATAAATACTTTTATTTAAGGTAAAGAGTGGGAATTTACAAAAAGGTATTTTAGTAATAGAGAGAGAGGTAGAAAGAGAGAGAGAGAAGGATTTGAAAATAAAGAGTAAAAAAGAAATTAATGATTGAAAGCACTGCGGCATCTATTTAATATTTAATAGCTATTATGCCTCATTCATTTCGTTCCTTACAGCAACGGATCAGCTTCTGATTTCATATATA